AAAAAAAAAAAAGGGTAAAATCAACTTACAAGAACATTTAAGACAGGCAAAATTAAACTGTTTCCACTTTGCCACTTTACAAGGCAGTATATATCCACTACTTCCCACTTCCACTTCAAGGTGTGTTACTTGGCATGTGAAAAAGTAGATCTATTAAAAATTAGAACTTTATGCAAATAAATAAGTATGTGAATCAATTACCCTATTTCAATTATCAACAACAAATCATGACAGATGTGTGGTACAGATCAAAGATTGACATTCTGCCACCTGGTGAAGCTGTAATCAGTCAGTGATAAATAACCCCAACACATCTTGCAAGTGTATTTGCAGTAAAACATTTAAAACTTGAAGTGATAAATGGTATGTTGTGGCTGGCATTAACCTCTTCAAGGAGACACAGACCCTTATTTCCAACAGTAAAAATGCTCCTATTACATTTGTTGCCTATTTCTTTTATTTAAGGAAAAAAATTTACCTCTGCTAGTCTTTCATTATCCTGGTCTTTCTGGTCACACAACTACATACAAATAAGGTAGATTAAGCATACATTAGGCATCAAAGTTATACTGATTACATGAGAGAAATTTTATAGTGCAGCAATCCCCTAGATTGAAAAAAATCAACAACAACAATTAAAAATACCATTTCTGCACTAGGCTATATCTTTGACAGGCATTATTTGGGATGAAAAATGAAGCTCTTTCAAAAAAAAAGGGTTTATTAGAAGTATATGGAAAACATTGCTTGTTTGGCATAAATAAAAATATTCACTCTGCAACCTGGTAGTTGTAGGCCGTGGCTGGTGTTAACTTTTTCTTACAAGGGGATAAAGACCCTTTTCCAACAATAAAAACACCTCTATCACATCACTGCCTTTCTCTTTTATTTAATAAGGGAAACCCTTGTATCAAATGCTGAAAAAGTTACCTCTGCCATTCTTTCATAATCCTGGTCTTTCTGGCCACACAACTAAAATAAAAAAGGCAGATTACTCAATATGTTGAACATCAAAGTTTCCCTTAATTATAAGCATGTGCACTGACATTAACCACACAACAAATTTGAATAACATAATGGATTATCATAATGAAAAAAATAAAACTAGCACATACCTGTGTGAGTTGCTCAATTTCTTGATCTTTCATTTCACTCAACTAAAAAGGGTACGATTCAGTTTGATATTAACCACACAATTGTAACCAATAAAATATAATTCCTGCATAACTTTTTCTACTATTGATGAAACATTAACTAGGATCACTCTATTTCCAACAGTAAAAAAAACCAGCAGCTAGCTAGGAGTCAAAAATTGCAAATGGAAAGTACAAACCTCTTGGGTCATTCTTATCAATTGCTGATTTTCTGCCTCCAGAAAAATGCTGTCATACAAGATTCTTTGTAACTTGAAAATCAAGAAAAAGTTAATTAAATGCAAAGTAAAAATTAAGAAAACCTACAGGGTAAAGCTGACCACCAATAGCTCAATCCAGCTAAGTCTCTGAGCTAAGTCTCTAAGCTAAGATTTATTCCAATTCACTATTTGGTGAACTGCAATTATCCGTGATGAAATGGTTGCAAGAAAAAAATCCTAATTGCATGAAGGAAAAAAAAATTGAAATTATAGACCATGACATTTTAAAATATATAATGTAATGCTGAACACACTCAGTCTAATTGTCTCTGAAACTGGCAACATGATTGGATATTAATTTTTTTTTTTGATACATGTGACAATAATCATTGGAAAACCAACACGAAAGACATAATTTGTCATGAAAGAAATGAAAAATCTCCAATTTTTTTTCTTCTTTCCACAGCACTCAGATTGATCAAAGCCTAGGGCGTAGGCTCCTCAGCTGGAATTGATTCTGAACATTGTTGATTTTGGAAAACATACATTTATCTTGATAAATCATGATCTGATGGAAGAGACACCATCTTGCTCATTAGCTTATTTCAAAATACTAGACTTTGCAAGTTTATAAGGCTACCCAGTACTTACAAGTGAAATCCCTGCACCTATGTGTATATACATATAAACTAGCAATGTGATGAAAATTCTTTACATCTGCAGTACTACTCTCAAATTACTTCATTAATGGTTCCTTGTTGCTGAGCACACTGCTGTTCACACCACTAAAATAAGATATAAAATAATTATAAACAACATCTAGTTGTAAGAGCACTAATCATTAACAATTGCAATACACACACTATGCAATACACTATTTTGTAAGTTGCAATTACAGAAAAAATAATTTTTTTTATTGAAGCAATCTGGTTGAGTTGGAAAAAAACCAAGGGAATGAAAAACAAAAAGAATCTTTCTGTACAAGGCTTAATTTTCAAGTTGCATGCCTTGAGATGTGAAATTTTAGCTCTGTTGAAAAAAAAGGAGCACTCTCCGAAGTATATAAATAAAATTACTAATAATAATATTCCAATGATGAACATGAAGTCATAACCATTGCTTTTGATATTAGAACATGTTTCCTGTGTGGCACAGATAATTATTTTTTCTGCCAGTACCTGCTACAATCAGTCATGGGTAAATAACCTTAACTTTTTGTGGAAGTGTATTTTCCAGCAAAAATTTGGTTTCTGTGGATGGTATTAACAACATCACCTGTAGCTCCAGTTGGTAAGCTTCAAGCTCTAAGGACCTTTCCCTTGGGCTCTGAGTGAAACACAATAAAATCAGTCAACTGAGTATTTCATATTTGGTACATATTCATGCCATTAACATTGATGTCTAAAATATTTGGCAGAAATTAGTTACTCATATAGGATTAATTGCAGAAAACTGCAGCTGTTTAGATGGCTTTTGTCAGGTAGACAGACTTTGAAAGTCATTTCACATGGAACACCATTGATAGTGTATTTTGTATTTATATGGATGGATCTGCTAAATGGGAATGATGTGCATGAATCAATAATTACTTTTGATGAAGGAAGTTGAAATAATCAATGAAGTAAGGGTTTGGATCCTGATTACAGGAGCTAGATAATTCCAAATTGACATGACATAGGGAGTACAGCACATGTGGCAGTAAACCTGAAGTGAAGCAAGAATGATACTGACAAAGCTACTAATCCAATGACTTACCTGCTGAAAGTCATCACTGTTCTCAGTTGCATCATCAGTTACAGATGGACAAGTTTCTCCAACCAAATCATTTTCCTGACTAGCCTCCTGGTTCAGTTGTAAGTGATGACCTGTAAGTCTGCCCACAGGGTTACTTGCTCCTTCAGGGGTCACTGGTCTTGTTCCAGTGCTTGAGGTCCTTGAGTCAACTGAATATAGACCTGGAATGGTGTCAATCTGGCATGCTGAACCACTGTGGTCCTCTTTATCTATACTTTCATCTGTGTCACTACCCCAAAATTGCTGCAAGTTCTGCCCATCTGAAGAAACAGTTCTTTCTCCAGCTTCATCAACTACTAGATTCTGATGTTCTGTATCATCATCTCTTGTTTCCATGAAAGTAGTTTCTTTCCAAGTTTCCCGACTCAGGTCATCTTCTGGAGGTGGTGGTAAACTCCGCTCTGGCCCATTCTTGAATGAAGACTTTGTCTTCTGGGTCTCCAATCTTGACGCTAATTACAAGAAAACAAGGGGACAATTACAATAAAGATACTAATAAAATTGCTCTAAGTTTAAAGTTTAATTTTGTTGTTTAACGCTGACATTTTAATCCTGCAACTGACAAAGCCACCTCTCATCTGTCCCTGGCCTTTGGTAAATGATCCTAATTTTACACTTTCATTCTGAAGTCATTCAAAGTCACCAACCCTCCCCCCACCCAATGGAGAGGGCAAAATTGCAGCAGATTTTAATTATAATTTCAGATATAAGCCAGGTGATGAAATCTTCATATACTTCATTCACACCATATTAGTCACTTAAGAGACCATGATTACCTATACAGGAGAAACTTCCTATGATGAGCTCTTCTCAAGAAACAAAATTCTCACCAGGGAAGTGTCAGATGATCCACAGGCTGGTCAATGTGAGGCAAGAGGACTCAATTTGCAAGTGAAAGAGAGGTGTTTGGCTTTGAGTGTGAAATTAATTAAAGTTGATGATTAAAATGTAAACAAGCATGAGGATCCACATGGCTTGTAAGTGAAGAGTGCCATGTAAATTTACAACTCTTTTGCATAATTTTCTCTATGGAAATAACTACACAATCATAGCATGAATAGCAATTTTCACATTTGCAGAATGATGCAGCAACAAGAATGGCTTAACTAAGCCCTATGTGTCATGACATTTGAAGATAGCCTGTTTACACTGTGTGACATGATGATCAAGTACAGTTGTTGTACCCGGCATGTTCTGTCCGTGATCTACAGATTTATTGGTTTTTAACACTAAGAGCAATTATCTGTTCTGCCACGACAATTCCAAAGTTAAAATGTACCAGCTAACTAATATTTCACTCTGATCAGACCTTTGACTCTGAGTCAGCATGGAGGCCAGTGAGCTCGGTAAGGACCAGGTTTTCAAGAGAGATTTTGACTGCATTATGTTCTGGAGATACAGGAGTATTATCTAACACTTGGAACGATACATCTTTGGCATGTACACTAGGGAGCTCTCTAAGTATGAAATATCATTTCAGTAAGCAAGTCCCAAACATCAGGTAAGTGCTGGAACATAATCCTGCCAAATTTCTGTGTGAAGGTACGAGTTTATTTGGCAATATCTGCAAAGAGGGGTTATTGTTCTATTTTTAAGGTAAGGTAAGGTCTCAATTTGGCATTAAGGTGAGGTTGTTTGCCTGGGCCCAGTAGTTCAAAGGGTGGATAATGCTATCCGACAGATAAATCACTATCTGGTGGATAAGTGTTCACAAAACATACTGCTCTATCCACCAAATATCAATTCATCCAGTGGATAGCATTATCCACCCTTTGAATAACCTGAGCCTGGTGATTTCTGTCTAGAGCTATATAATGACCTGCAATAAAACTCACTGCTTAAGAATGTTTGAGCTGAAAATGATGATGTCCAGACTGTTTTATCGACAAAGCAAGGTTTACCTCTACATGGTACATTCTCCTGAGGACTTCTCTTGCAGGTGTTATAATTAATATCCCTTGCATGTTGGTCTTGAAGAGCATTCTCTAATGTTTTAGTAGCACTTGTCAATGGCCAATGATCAGCATCGACAAGTTTCTCAAAATCTTTTGTTAATGAGAGAAGTTCAAAGATGAGCCTCCATGTATCAAGAAACAGTTCTCCATCTTTTTCTTCAGCAAGGGCAATAACCTCTTGAACTGTCTTGCCTTGGGTTTCATTGATCCTTAGCACTATTTTAAGGATATCCATAGAGTCTCTATGTAATTCTAACCGAACCATCAACTTTTCCTTTAGGGAACTGGATGGCCATGTGACTTTTGATGAAAGCCCTAGAGTAGAAATGAAACATATGAGTTTCACTGAATACTTACCACAATATTCTACAACACCTTTAGATGATAACACAATAATAACAAATATCTGTGCAGGATGACCCTTTAATGCATGAGTATGTTAGTAAAGGGTTCCTATCGACATGAAAAAATAATTTTGGATTCAAAAGAATAATTCTTAAAAAGAACTTCAAAATTGCCTTGTGAACAGTGAGGAAAAAAACCAAATAAACAAGCCATTTTCTTCAAAATGTTATCAGCTGTGGGTAGGCAGAGTTCATACCTTTGAGTTTGGCAGATAATGATATAGCAGTGGGCAATCCAAGAGGTGGCTCTTCTTGTCCACTGTTTCCAGGCCAAATTAGAATTTAAAATGTTGGTTTTGCAGAGGGAGGAAAAGTAGAAGGCCTAGATAAAAACCCTCTGAGCAAGGACAGGAACCAATAACAAACTCAACCCACATGTGACACTAAGTATAAGAATCAAATCCAGGCTACAGGATGAGGCAAGTTCTCTCACCACTGTGCCAAGTGATTGGTTTTCAGATAGTTTGCAGACCACTGAATGATTAATGATCTATGAGACAGCTGCATCAACAAAAGAGTAAGCAACTTTCCTTGCTTTAAAAACATATCAACTCATGAATCAATTGTCACTGATTTTAGATGGGTAAAAATCAATGCGTGGTAAACTTGAAATGCAGAATCAAAAGGTCTGAGGTTTGATTACTAATGAGAAGTCAAAAATTTTTCTTTGTCCTATACTTATGACTGGTTATGAGTAGCTGGTCATAATCGGTTGTGAGTCACCTGAAGACAAACCTTGACCTGAATTGATCTGCCATGTTGAACTCCTGCCTTCCTCTTTCTCTGTAACACTTGTGTCAGGTGCAGCAGATTGCTCCAACTGGCTAGCAGGGACTACAGCTGGTAAAGGTGCTGGTGATAACAAAGGAGGGTTATCATTCCAAAATTGCTGCAAGTTCCGCCCATCTGAAGAAACAGTTCTTTCTCCAGCTTTGTCATCTCCCATTTCCATACTAGTTTCTTTCCAAGTTTCCTGGCTCAGGCTATCTTCTGAAGGTGGTGGTAAACTCCATTCTGGCCAATTCTCTGATGAAGACCTTGTCTTCTGGGTCTCCAATCTTGACACTTATTACAAGAAAACAAGGGGACAATTACAGTAAAGGTAGTAATAAAATTGCTCTAAGTTTAAAGTTTAATTTTGTTTTTTAATGCTGACATTTTAATCCTGCAACTGACATAGCCACCTCTCATCTGTCCCTTGCCTTTGGAAATGTTGATCCTAATTTTATACTTTCATTCTGAGAAAGGTGTTAATAAGCAGTGGCCTAATGAGCAGTTTATAAATGTTCAACTCCCAACACCTGATTATTAATTCTCCCCTCTGTGTGCTGCACATTTCCATATAAATTAGTTTCAAGAATTTGGTGTTAGATTAAGATAGCAACTTCTACCTTGCCTAAAAGTTTTGAGCGTATATTCTTATCACCATTTGAGAGATAATGTATGGATACTATAGGAATAAATTACAAATTATCTCCCAGTGGAGATAGCAAAATTGCAGCAGATGTGCAATTTTCAGATACAATGAGCCAGGTGATAAAATTTTCATTTACTTCATTCACACTACACTAGTCAACTAAAAGACCATAATTACCTACACAAGAGAAATTTCCTCTATAAAGAAACATATTATATTTAAAAATATTTACTCATCCTAGAATGTGATAAGTCCAAATTTGAACATAAACATGCCTCACCTTTTCGATTATTAATCCTTGGTTCCTTCAGTTTGTTTGAAAGAGGCTCGTCAGGCTTGTTGCTGTATGGTGCATTCTCCTGCACACTTCTCTTGCAAGTGTTGTGATAAGCATCCCTTGCATGCTGGTTGTGAAGAGGACTTTCTAAGGTTTTAATAGGATCTGTCAGTTGCCAATGATCAGCATCGACAAGTTTCTCAAAATCTTTTGTTAAGGAGAGAAGTTCAAAGATAAACCTCCATGTATCAAGAAACAGTTCTCCATCTTTTCCTTCAGCAAGGGCAATAACCTCTTGAACTGTCTTGCCTTGGGTTTCATTGATTCTTAGCACTATTTTAAGGATATCCATAGAGTCTCTATGTAATTCTAACCGAACC